TCCAGGGAAGTGGTGACAGCACCTGGCCTATCACAATTGTCACAATCATACCTTCAACAAACATTTGGACAACACTCTTGGGCGCATAGTGGAGTTATTGGGGTGTCAGTGGGTCAGTGTTAGTGTGAGTCAATGGAGTTATGGGACACAGAGGAGAAGAGCAAGGTGCAGGACTGGGGGTGGCTTGGGAACTGTGGGGCCACTGGGCTGAGCTGGGAAGAGGACAGAGAAGGGCTGGATGGATGTTGCACAAGCTGATCCCTCATTCCTTGGGAATGCTGTGGTGCCTCCCAGGCTGTCATTGCCCTGGGCAGCCCGCTCCATGAGAACACACTGCAGGAAGTGTGGCAAAGCCACCATCTCCATGGGGCTCCTTCCCAAGGGCAGGCCAGCAGCCAGGCTTTGGGGCTCACAGAGCTCCAAAACCGCTGTGGCTGCTCCGCACTTCCTCTGTCACCAGAAACAAGCAGTGCACCAGATGTGTCCCTGTCACCATGTCTTACCTTCAGAGCCACCTGGGCTCCGTGCTGCCAGCCTGTGCTGGCCCTCAGGAGTGTCATGACTCACCACACCAGCTGAGGCTGGCTGAGATGGGTACAGTGCTGCTCCTTGTAAGAGCCAGCTGGGGCTGCCCAGGGAAGGCTACTCAGGCTGGAGATGGAGCCCTGCCTGCCGAGGAGCTCTGGCAGGGCACTGGGAGCCAGCTGGGACTACCCTTTAAGCTGGGCCTTTGGGATTAAATGGTTTTCCTGTTGGAGTTTGCAATGAGCCGTGAGTATGGCTTGATCTGTTGAGAGAATTCATCCTAAACCTCACTCCTTTTGGGTTTGATGCACAGCAATTTGTGCTGTCCCGATAAGCACTCAGAAACACTGATGTCCTGTTGGTCCCAGGGCCAGCTGGTCCCCAGGCAGGAGCCAAGCTGATCCCGTCTGGCCATGCACAGCCACCCCACACTGTGTGAAGGGGCTGGGGGTGCCCCTGTCCCTGCAGGCACAGTAGAGAGTCCCACACTGAGAGCCTGCGGAGAAGGGGCTGTGGAAGTCCTGCCTTATCTGCCCATGCCACACACAGCTTCACCCTGTGCTCTCCTTCCTGCTGACCTCACCAGGGAGGAAGCGTGGAGGCCTTCTGTTCAAGATGAGAGATCAAAGAAAACTGATATTCAACTCTGATATTTCAGTTTTGTTCGACTCTGCTTAGAGGAAGAAGTTTTTGGCCGTTGGGAGAGCAGAACCCAAGGGTGATTGGCACCTCCCTGCAGCTGCAGCTCCCAGCAGAGCCACTGCTTTGTCCCCTGGATGCTGCACCTCTTCCAGCAGCAGTTTCACCCCTCACTGGAGCTGCTGTTGCTCCCCTGCTATGATTCACCCTGAAGGCTGGAGCAGAGGAGCAGCCATGGACATCCCCATGGCCCTGGTGTGACCAGTCAGCGCTGCAGGACAGTTGCCCAGAGCAGGGTCTGGCCAGCACCAGGCCAGGTGGGGCTGGACGTGCTGGCAGTGGGGGACACCAGGGCTGGGAGCGTGACACCTCCTGTGTCCCCACAGGTGTGTGGAGGCCCTGGTGGTGTACTGCTGGGCAGGGAGGGAGGAGGAGCCCTATGTCACCATCACCCGCAAGCGGCGGCTGCGGAAGGGCTACGAGGTGGAGATGGAGCAGGAGGTGGGGCACTCGGAGCGCCGGCTGACCACGCACCGCAACGCCTTCAAGCGCATGGCAGTCATCCAGGCTTTCCTGGGCTCCACCCCGCAGCTCACCCTGCAGCTCTACATCAGCGTCCTGGAGAAGTACGTCCCTGTTGCCCGAGGTAAGGGCACCTGGCACATGGGCTCCCCAGGAACCCCATCAAGCCGGCAGCTCCTTTCTGCTTGTGCTCGTGTGACATAGGGACAATTCAAAAAGTCATTCCAGGGGACACAGCTTCCGTTGGACTTCCTTAAATGTGAAGCACAACCCACAGAAGCTGGGCACTCGTCAGCTCTCTGCTTTCCTGCTTGCAGTGATGCAAAGTGAGAAAGAGCAGGCATGACTGAGGTGCCAGGCTCTGCTCCCAGCCCTGTGCTTGTATCTGCCCTCCAGAAACAAGCCATCCACCCAGTGCCATGTCTCATAAGAGGGTCAGATCCCTGTCCTAGCCTGCTCCAGTCTCCATTCTTTTTTTTTTTCATCTAGCTACAGGCTCTGGCTTCCCCCAAGTCCCTCCACTATTTATTTCTGTGCATTTTCCAGCAGCTAGAGCTCCCAGCCCAGCACTCCCACTCCGAGGCTCCCTTGCCTGCTCTCAGGATGTTTATGTGCTTGGGGGTGGATATGCCAGAGCAAACTTTTAACTCCCATTTTGGCATGGTACCAAGCTGGGCACGCTGGCGTGCTCCTGCACCATTACAGTGCTGGGTGAAGGAGCTGCCCTCACTGCCCTGCTCTCCCAGAGCCCAGAACTTGTCATCTGTGCCCACAGCACGTGCATGGAAAGGGAAGCACAGGAGATGTCCCATAGAAACCTCCTAATTTGCCACAGCCCTCTGCAAAGGCATTTTAGGGAGCTGCAGACGCACAGGAAGAATGAGTGCCAGTGCTCCTCTAGCAGTAGATGCAGGAGTAAATACCAAATGATGTGTTTTGGGTGATTCCCTCACAGCTGGAGTGTCAGCTCAGCCCTGCAGCTGGCAGCTGCCATGCATGGGACCAGCTGCACTCTTCTGTTTCTCTCCATGGTATTCCTGGCTGTGCTGAATGTGAGCAGCTGCCAGCATTCCCTACAAATGACCTTGGCTTTGCAGCCCTTGGATGGGGCTGGCTCTTGGGATGCGTCTGGGGCTGCAGGGGTGTGGGTTTTGGCTGGAATGAAGGCAGAGGGGTCCTCACAGCACAGGATACCCTGCTTACCATTGAGCAGCATTTCCTGCACAGGTCAGGGGTGTTGGGGCATGGTCCAACCACAGAAATGGCTCCAGTTTGGCCAAGGCTTGTGTTTTATTAGTGTAGGGAGAAATTTTGGGTTCTGAGCATCCCACTACCAGCAACTTCCCCCACAGCCACCTCACCATGGGTCACCACCATCCTTGAACTGTTCCAGCAATGCTCAAGCTGAGCCTTCTGCTGTGAGCCCAGGTGTTTGGCACCCTCTACTTCTCACCCAGGATTGGCACCCCACGTTTCCCACCTGGGCTTGTCCCCCCACACTTTGCACCCCAGGCAGAGGAGAGGCTGGACACAGCCTGGTCTCCAGCACTGCCTGACTGCCCTGCTCTCTCCCTGTGCAGCCGTCCTCATGGCCATCTGCCTGGTGTCAGTGACCTACGGAGCGCTCGTCTGCAACGTCCTGGCCATCCAGGTCAAGTACGATGACTACAAGGTGCAGCTGCGGCCGCTGGCCTTCCTGTGCATCGTGCTGTGGCGCAGCCTGGAGATCTCCACCCGCATCGCCGTCCTCGTGCTCTTCAGCACCGTCTTCAAGCACTGGATCATCCCCATTGCCCTGGCCAACCTCCTGGTGGTCTTCTTCTTGCCCTGGGTGCAGTTCTGGCGCAGCGGCAGCCGCCTGCCTGACAACATCGAGAAGAACTTCAGCCGCCTGGGCACGGTGGTGGTGCTCTGTGCCTTCACCCTCCTCTACTCCAGCATAAACATGTTCTGCTGGTCGGCCGTGCAGCTCAAGCTGGCTGACCGGGACCTCATTGACAAGTCGCAGAACTGGGGCCGCGTGGCTGTGTACTACGTGGCCCGGCTGGCCGAGAACACGGCCCTGGTCATCCTCTGGTACTTCTTCAAGACTGATGTCTACGAGAACGTCTGCACTGCGCTGCTGGTGCTGCAGCTGCTCCTCGGCTACTGCATGGGCATCTACTTCATGCTGGTTTTCTTCCAGTACCTGCACCCCTGCCGCCAGCTCTTCAGCCACAACGTCGCTGACTTTCTGCACTGCGTGTGCTGCCGCCGGCACCCGGCAGGGACCCCTCTGTGCCTTGAGGCACCCGTGGAGCCCGGCGTGAGGCACAGCATTGTCTGAGCACCCGGCTCCTCCAGCCAGCTATGGGCTTGGGCATGGGCAGTGTCAGCCAGAGGATGCTTGTGGCACAGGCCAGCAGCCAGAGGATGCTCGTGGCACAGCCCAAGTGCTGCCTGCTCCTGCAGTGGCAGCATCCCCACGGTGGCAGGGCGACAGGAGTGTGCTTGCCCACTCAGGATCACTCATAGGAACATGAAGGAGGGTGGATTTGGATTGGACATAAGGAAGTTTTTTACAATGAGAGTGGTGAGGGACTGGCACGTGTTGCCCAGAGAGATGGGGGATGTCCCATCCCTGAAAACATTCAAGGCCAGGTTGGATGGGCTCTGAGCAACCTGGCCTAGTTGTAGATGTCCCTGCCCATCTCTGGAGTTGAATTAGATGGACTTTAGAGGTCCCTTCCAACCCAAACTCTTCTACAGTTCTACAGTCCTACAACCTATGGGGTGCCCAAACCAGGTGCCCCTGCAAGCTGGCTGCCACATGGTGCAGAGCCCTGGGGTGCCCCAACACCCTCCCTGCTGCTGTGGTGCACTGGGTGACCTCGGGGTGCCACTGGGACTGATTTTAGCAGTAAAGAAACTTTTCTGTGGCTGCATGTGTGGGTGCTGGCAGTGACTCATGGGGAGGGTGGGGATTGTCCCACCGGGGCTGGCACGGGTGCAGACACTTGCTGTCCACGTCACCCTCTCGTTTGCAGGCTCCGAAATGGGGCTGTGCCAGCGGGAGGTGGGGATGGGGAGCCCCTCCTTGGAGCTGCTAAGATTCAGGAGCATGTTGGGATGGGGGCTGGCCCCATCCTGTGCTTCCGTCAGCATGGCCATGGCTGCAGGCCAGGAGAGAGCAGCATGCCAGCAGGGAGCAAGCCTGTCCGACCTGTTCCTCCAGGCTCAGGGGCCCAGAGCAGGCTGCTACTCCCAGCTGGAGCACTGGACACCCCAGAGCCCTGTACTGGAGGGCAGGCAGGAGGGGAAGGCTGGCACAGCGGTGGCAGTGGGTGCTGGTGGGACCCAGGCATCCTGGCCCCAAACCAGGAGTGGGACACCCCCTACCCCAGCACTCATTTTTTGGGGTCAGCTCAGTTTTGGTGCTGGACTGAGGATGCTCATCAGCCCTGGGGGCCCATGCAGGTGCAGCACCACTGGTGCTCAGTCCTGAATCACGCTGTAATGGATGCCCGGGCTGGATCCTGGCACTGGCACAGTGCTGTGACCCCAGAATGTTTCTCTTCCTTCATTTTCCCCTGTAAAACGAGCAGCGGAGGCTGGTGAGCGAGGCCAGGGAAAACAGAGCTGTTGCGCCAGGCACAGGATCTCAGATCCTCCGCAACTTCTTCCCAGGAAATGCTTACCTTACCAAAAAAGCCCGTTTTTGTCCCAGACCGAAGAGACCCCGAGAGGAGCAGCCAGACACCCTGTGCCACCCAGCATGGGGACCTCTGGGGGGTCCATCCCCGGCCAGCACAAGGGGCTCGTTTCTGCTGGATCAGCCCTGCCTTCCTGGAAGGTGGCCTTTGAAACCACCAGCATTTCCTTAAAGTCTTCTCAGGGGAAAGTCCCGTGTCGTCGTTGCTGTCGCTCCTCCTGCTGCCTCCATAAAACGTGGGGCGGGCGCGGGCGGGCGGCAGAGCGGGGACATCGCACCATGGCCAACTGGTTGGTCAACCACTGGTTCTCAGCCGCCGTGCTCGTGAGTCTGGGGGCTGGGGCTGGCTGGGACAGCGCGGGCCGGGGGGCTCGGGGGGCTCCTGGGGGAGGTGGGGATGATGAGCTGCCCTGGGGCTGGGCTCTGGGCAGAGATGAGCATCCCCTGTGCTCCGCCAAGCCCGGCAGCCAGGGGAGGGCTGGGCTCTGCAAAACTGAAGTGTTGGGGCAAACACAGCTCACGGGAAAACTTAAAAATGCCTGCTGCTTTGCCCAGCGACTTTGGGAGCTTCCCACGTGCCTCTTCTGCCCTTGTGAGAGGAGGAGGATCCTGTGAGAGCTCGTGGCAGGTTGAGGAGCTGGCACCATGGGGACCATCTGCCAGTGCCGTGCTGCAGCATCTCTGGTGTGACAGAGCTTGCCTGGCCCGCACCCATCAGCTGCTCAGCGCTGTGTGAGGAGTGGGAATGTATGGCAACACGGGGGTTTACAGACAGTTAGGCTATTTTAATTCTTTAAGTTGCTTAAAAAAGAAAAAGTAAACAGCCTAAACCCAAATACACGGCAGGGTGTTTTTTTGGGACCTCTGCAAAAATTCAGTGGCTGTGAGAGGCGGCACTGTGGAGAGCAGTGGGGTTAGGCAGGGGATAGCAGCACAGTGGGGCCAGGTGAGCAGCTCCCTGTGAAACTTCCTTCTCCCAGAACCTTTCCCTGACCACCCTCTGAGTCTGCTTTCCTTCCCGTTACTCGGCCCTTGCCTGCTCCTGCCTTTCCTCCTTCCTCATACATGGGTGATGCACAGGGCAGTGTGTGACAAGATAGCAATTCAGCAAGATTTCCTCACCTCTCCCCACCTTTGGCCCAGTGTCCCAGCCCTGCGCGTGACAGGGCAGCTCATAAGGAAACAGGGAATCGCTGTCCTGACACGCTCTGCCTGCACCTGGCCTGACTACTGCAGTGTGACAGGCTCCTGGGACAGGGTCCCTCACGAGGCTGTGACTTTCCCCCACAGGCAGCCTGGCTGGGCATCAACATCTTCCTCTTCACCTACTACTTTCTGTTCTTTGACCGGGACGAGCGGTATTTCTACACCAGGGCCATCCTTGGGGTAAGGTGCTCCCCACAGCACCCTGCCTGCCCAGGCAGAGCCCCTTGGGACCCTGCTGCACTGGGGTGGGGGCTGCAACATCCCATGCCCCTTTCACATCCTGTCCTCTTCCAGCCCACCATCATTCTGTCCCACTCTGTAGCCTGGCATTGCACCATGCTAGTCCCTGTCTTGATCCCTCTCTAGTCTCAACAGCATCCCAGCCCAGCCTAGCATCTCCCCCTCCCAGTCCTCTCCTTGCATCACCTCCCAGTCCCCATGCCAGCCCAGCATGTCTCCATCCCAGTTCCCAGTCCAGCATCACTCAGTCCCAGCTCAGCACTGATCACCCCATCCTGACCCAGTCCTGGCACAGCACGACAGGACAGTGGTGCTCACCCCTCTCTTCTCCCCAGTCTGCCTTGGCATGGGCTCGAGCATCAGCCAAGTGCCTCAACTTCAACAGCATGCTGATCCTGCTGCCTGTGTGCCGCAACCTGCTCTCCTTCCTGCGTGGGACCTGCTCGGTGAGTGTCCCATGGTGACACGGCCAGTGTGGCAGTCCCCATCCCTGTCCCCATCCTGACACCACTGCCTCTCCCTGCAGTGCTGCAGGCGGACGCTGCGGAAGCAGCTGGACCACAACCTCACCTTCCACAAGCTGGTGGCCTACGCACTGGCCCTGCTGACAGGTACCCCTGCACTGGGACGGGGCAGCGGGGGACTGGGAGCTGCCTGGTGAGTGACTGCCTGTCCCCTGTCCAGCTGTGCACACCATCGCCCACCTCTTCAACCTGGAGCGCTACAACCAGAGCCAACGAGCCACCGACGGCAGCCTCCCCGCTGTGCTCTCCGACATGCACCTGCAGGGCAGCCAGTGGCTGAACCCCATCCACTCCAACGAGACGGTGAGCGTGGCCTTGACATCCAGCAACCCAGCAGCACCTGTGCCCTGCTCCCCTAACCCCCCTGCTGCCCCCGCAGACCGTCGAGTACGTGGCTTTCACCACCATCCCGGGGCTGACAGGGGTGATCATCACGCTGGCACTCATCCTCATGGTCACCTCCTCCACCGAGTTCATCCGCAGGAACTACTTTGAGCTCTTCTGGTACACACACCACCTCTTCCTCGTCTACTTCGCTGGCCTCGTCATCCACGGCATCGCGTAAGGCTGCCCACACTCCCCAGGCAGGACAGCGAGGGGCAGTGCACACAGACCTCTGCTGGGGCACGCTCCAGTGGGGCTCTGAACTGCCATTCCCAGGGCGGGCTGGCCCAGCTGGCCTGGGAGCAGAAGCTGGCCCCTGGGCTCATCCCTCGCCTCCCTGCAGCGGGCTGGTGCGTGGGCAGACGGAGCAGAGCATGGCAGAGGTGCACCCCTATCGCTGTGCCGAGTACCTCACAAAGAGGAACCAGAACTGCACCCACAGCTGCTGCAAAGACCCCGAGTTCAGGAGCATCCCTGCCGAGGTAGGCAGTGCTGGGATGGCAGTGGTGGGGGAGCAGCTCTCCCCTTGCTGTTTAGATGCTCCAGCCCCTGGCCCTTCCCAATCCTCTGCTCTCCTCCATCTTCACAGTCCTGGAAGTGGGTGCTTGCCCCCATCATCCTCTATGTGTTTGAGCGGATCCTGCGGGTCTGGCGTGCGCAGCAGAAGGTGGTTGTCAAAAAGGTGGGTGGTGCAGGAGCTGCTCCTATGCCAGCTCTACCCTTGGAGTCGCTGGTGCCACAGCTCCTGCCATGGTGGCCATGGGGAGGCGAGCAGGGGCCACAGGCACAGCCCCTTCCCAGGGCCAGGGGCCAGGCTGGGCGCTGAGCCCGGCCCGTGCCCCCAGGTGGTGATGCACCCTGCCCGCGTGCTGGAGCTGCAGATGCAGAAGAAGGGTTTCTGCATGGAGGTGGGGCAGTACATCTTTGTCAACTGTCCTGCCATCTCCCCGCTGGAGTGGCACCCCTTCACCCTCACCTCTGCACCTGAGGAGGATTTCTTCTCCATCCACATCCGGGCGGCTGGCGACTGGACAGAGCGGCTCATTGACACCTTCCAATCAGAAACGCCCAGGTAGGCTGGGGAGAACCCAGTGGTTGTGCCAGGGATCTGGGGAGGCCATGCCTCTCACCCAGGCCCTGCTCTGGCCAGGATCGAGGTGGACGGTCCCTTTGGCACGGCCAGTGAGGATGTGTTCCAGTACGAGGTGGCCATGCTGGTTGGAGCAGGCATTGGCGTCACCCCCTTCGCCTCCATCCTCAAATCCATCTGGTACAAGTTCCAGCAGGCTGACCAGACCCTCAAGACCAAGAAGGTACGGAGCATCCTGTGGGAGCAGCTGTGGGTTTCTCCCTCTGGCTCTGCTCCACCTTGAGCAATCCCTCTCCCTCTCCAGATCTATTTCTACTGGATCTGCAGGGACACGGGAGCCTTTGCCTGGTTCAACGACCTGCTTGGCTCACTGGAGCAGAAGATGGCTGAGTCGGGCAAAGCAGATTTCCTCACCTACCGTCTCTTCCTCACTGGCTGGAACAACAGCATGGTGAGTCAAGCACAGGCTGGCATGGCTGCAAGAGGGGGACACAGAGTGACCAAGCTGGGCAGCGCAAGCATGACATGGCTTTAAGGCACCAAGTCCAGGCAGTGTTTGGTGGTATCACAGTGGATGCTCTCCTGCGGTGAGGGACTGGAGGGGGGTTCATGGGTGGTGCCTGGGGTTCTCACCATCCCTGCCTGCCCAGGCCAACAACGTGGCACTGCACTTCGACACCGCTACGGACACAGTGACGGGCCTCAGGCAAAAGACATTCTTCGGGCGGCCCAGGTGGAACACGGAGTTTGCAGTGGTGGCTGCAGCGCACCCCAGGTGAGAGCTGAGCGGGGAATTCGGGATGTTGGAGTTGGAGGCACGCCCTCTACCCTGGCACTCAGCACTGGGCTGGCTTTGGGAGAGGTGTGCTATCCCCTGCAGGGAGCACAAAAAGCTTTTAAATCACTTCTCCCTGAGTTGCCCGCCTGGCATTGACACCCCCGCGCTGTTTGCAGGTCGGTGGTTGGTGTGTTCCTCTGTGGGCCAGAGGCCCTGGCAAAGAGCCTGAAGAAGTCTTGTCACCAACACTCCAGCCTGGACCCCAGGAAGGTCAAATTCTACTTCAACAAGGAAAACTTTTAAGTGGCAGCAAGGTGGCACTCCAGCAGGCAGGACCCTGTCTGTATTGCCTCCAGCCTGTTCCAAAGCAGAGCCAGGGATAAGCATTTGTGCATGCACTGAAGCCAGGCAAGACTCCATGAGACGAAGGTCTCCATGAGATTTCCAGGTTCAAAGACTGCTGCCTGCCTGTCCTGGT